TCAGCCCTGACCTAGACAGCCCAGGCTAGCCGATCTCATCAGATCTCGGAAGCTCAGCAGGGTCAGCCATGGTTAGTATTTAGATGAGAGACCACCAAGGAATACCAGGGTCTCTACGCAGAGGCAGGCATTGGCAAATCACCTCTGAACGTCTCTTGCCTGGATAACCCTATGGGGCCACTTTTAAGTCAGCTGGGACTTGACGGCAAGGGGGGGAGGTTCAGCGCGGAGAAACAGAGCCCTGCGGGACTTTACGCCTGCTTTCCCCATATGCCACAGTCCCAGTCCGAACATGGCCAGGCGCTCTGGGGGATTAAGTTTCAAGCACAGAACTTCCAAAACACATCAGACTGAAACCCCTCGTGAAGGTCAGGAGGACTCCGTAAGCTGTGAAGTACCCCTTAGGATCCTGGGATTCTCCTCCAACCACCAGCCATAAATGGCTTGTGCCGCTCTTATAGGTGGGGCACTGTGAACCACTTGTTCATGCACAGTTACGCTTAAGGGCTTTGCGTTGCGGAAAAACCATAAACAGGGAGGGCTCACTGAGAATAAGCCAATATACCGAGGCCCTTTGTAGATAATAAAAGAGAAGCACAGATTTTTATCTGCAGTCCAATACCTGCAATAACCCCAAACTAGCACTATATCACATCAAGTCACGGATGGAGGAGGGAGGAGAGAATATTTTCATTTGAAACGTGCCCCCCCCCAAAAAAAAAACAACATACACAAGATAGGTCATATTCCTAGCTGCTAGCTTTGAAAAAATATGCAAAGTCAGCCTCAATATTATCTTAATAAATAAAAATAGCAGGCCGAGGGGGAGTCAAAGGGGTGATTTGAAGCCAACATTATTTATTTTATTCAAACCATTTATTGGCCACCTTTCTTCCTTATGGAGCTCCAGGTGAGTTAAGCAGATCTATCATAAATGGTTATATTTATAGGCTATAGTAGGTAATCTATAATGGTCAGACTCATGGTGACTTACTAGTACTGTATGGCGAGAATAGATGTTAAGAATGTATGTAATTATCCTTATTAATTTAGAATCAAAAAGTATTTGATGTATGTAATGTTATTAACAAAAACAATAAAAACGTATTAAAAAAAAGGTGAGTTACGACACAGGTGAAACACATAAAACACATTAAAAACCTAAAAAAACAAAATTTAATATCACCTCAGGACCAATGCTCCCTCCAAGCTGTGGAATCTTGGAAGCAAAAAATTCTACTTTGTGAGCTACTGGCATTAAAGTTGTGAGCAGGTGATTGGGCTACTGCATAAATTAGTTCGCTCTGGAGCCATCCTTCCTGAGCAAAGATGAAAATGTGTGAGCCAGAGGCTAAGAAACTCTGAGCTGGCTCACACTAACTCAGCTTAGAGGGAACACGGCTCAGGACTCCAAGTCAACTTAACGGGATGTAATCCTAAACAAAACTTTCTTCAACTGCCTACTAAAGATTGGACGTGAGGGGGGCCAGGGACCGCCCCCTGGGGGGGCTGTTCCGTGATGGTGGGTCTGCCACCGAAAAGGCCCTCTTTCATTAACCCACCAAATGAGTGTCTCTGACTGGTGAGCCTGTCAGGCGGGCCTCTCCCTGGGAAATTAATTCCCAGGTAGGAACATCGAGGAGAAGACGGTCCTTCAGATACCCTGGTCCCAAGCCGTGTGGGGCTTGCTACTTATTAAATCCAGCACTAGATATAAAAATTCTAATACCACAGTATCACGGGGCCACGATCCAGAGGTTCTTTCGAGACATCTCCCATGTCCTTGCCCCTCCCCCCAATGCCGCTCTTTGCATTTTTCGGTATGCTGCTTTTAACATTGAAGGGGATTTCAAAAGTGGATTTTGATGCAACTTGAGGAGATGGGGGGGGGGGGGAGGTCCATGTAGGTATATGTGCAAGAGAGAGAGGGCTCAGCAAACAAGACCAGTCCAGGCACACAGGAAGGGAGCCTTGGTACTGAAGCTCTAATCGTCCAGGCTGTAGCTAACAAAACAAGCAGACTATAGAACTGAGGTCCAAGCAGTTAACTTCAGCAAAGTGTTTTCTCTTTTTCCGTAAGTTCCATGAAAAGCATTTAACAACCTCTAGTGGCTCCCCGGTGAATAGCAACCAGCCATAACTACTTTTCAAAAGGGTTATCGGCAGCCGAGGCTAAGTGATGCCTGGCCTGACTCTACTTGCTTCATCCCCACACTGTAATCAACAAACGGCAAGAATGTGCCGTGTATGAGGATTTCAGTGCATTGTACATGACATCCCATAACATGAGATACCGTCAGGAGGCACCCGACCCGTGCACTCTCCTGCCTTGCCAACCGATGGAAGACAGGGTAGCTGGCTACACCTCCGGAGAAGAGAACCAACCACCCACCCGCCAAGGCGAGCTCAAGGGGTGAGCCAGGAACTGGCCCTGGGGTCCGGGGTCCTCGGAAACCCTAGGGTCCGACGGGTGGCTTCGGGTCAAACACCCCAGGTGTTCAGGGAAGGGGCTGGGGTGCTCCCACCCCAGCCAGCCCTAGGCGTGCCGGCCGCCCAAGGGGGGGAAGGAGGGGGAGCTCGGCTGTGGCAAGATGGGGGCCCGACAGAGAAGAGGAAGGATGGATCTCCTCGGGACCAGGAGGGAAACTGACGGGGCCAATGGCTAATCTGCTGTAAGGTGGGGCGGGGACACAGGTGGGAATAAAGAGGAAGTGAGAAGGCACAACCGGGGAGGATGTGGTCGGCGTTTATGGTGAAAGCGGGAGCCAAGTGTGGAGAGCCAGCTGTGAACGTCTCGCCCGTGCAGAGAGAGAGAGAGCGAGAGCGGAGGGGAGAACCTTGTTGCGGCTTGGTGTAACACTGGTCCCAGAACCCAAATCCTGATGGTCGGTGAGCGTGAATCAACGCCCAACCGCCCAGGTGTCTGAGGTGGTGCCGGACACGACACCTCGCCCTCCCGGCGTGTCCACCCTCGCAGCTCCCAGGCATGACAGATCCAAACCTGACAGATACATCAGGGCTCCCATATTTGACAAACTGGGGGACTATCCAATCCACAGACTTATGAACAGTATTCAAAAGTACATTTCATCAGCAGGGCTTTTGTCCTGAGCTCCACAGCCTGGACCCTCGACCAGTTATTTCCTGTACAGAGATTAATAACCCAACCGAGCCACTTTCTTAACGTGAGGCACCAGAGGGGGATTTTATACCTCCCTCCTTCAGGTGTTGTACCCAGCCGCGCTTCCTTGTCATTGCTAAAACGTTTGATTTGGTTAAGACAACTGGGCTGTATTCCATCAGCGTGGGATTACTAGCAGAGTTTCCCCAGTTTTTAAGCAAGGGGACAAGAGTCAGTCTGCTAATTGCAGACCAATCTGATCTCCGACAGCTGTCATAACAAAATGCCTTTTTCTTGGAAGGAAAAGGAGAAGAGAAGGAGGAGGAGGAGGAGGAGGAGAATTGGATTTATACCCCACCCTTCCCTTGGAGTCCCAGAGCAGTTTACAAGCTCCTTTCCTTCCTCTCCCCACACCCTGTGAGGTAGGTGGGACTGAGAGAGCTCTTTCGAGGACTGCTCTTGAGAGAACACCTCTGAGAGAACTTGTGACTGACTCAAGGTCACCCAGCTGGCTGCATGTGGAGGAGTGGGGAATCGAACCCAGTTCTCCAGATTGGAGTCCGCCGCTCTTAACCACTACAGCAAAGCACCATTATGTACAATGTAAATAAGGAAGAACCAGCAGTGTCAAAGGTGGGCATTACACACTGTTTTGTACTCACCCATTTAATCTACAAACATATTTACACTTAAAAATGAAGCCGCCTTCGGCTTCCTTAATATAGAAGGGGAGGAAGGATAAACACACAGGTACCTGAGAACAAGACGTGTTCCATGCCCAATAACAGACAAGAAGTGGTCTCTAATGGCATCTGTATGCAGCCTTAGACACAGCAGTCTGGGGAGGGGGAGCCACACCAAAATATGCACAACTCCAAATATAAATAGGCCACAGACAGGCTGTGGCTCCGTGGCAGAGCATCTGCTTGACATGCAGAGCATCTCCAGTTAATAGGATCAGATGCCGGGTGATGTGAAAGACCTCTGCCTAAAATCTTGGAAAGCTGCTGCCAGTCTGGGTAGATGACACTGATTTTAATGGACCAAGGGTCCAATTTGGTATAAGGCAGCTTCATGTGTTCAACGCCAGTCTTGGGTACCACGCCCAGCCACTGTGCTCCCACTAAAAATACTGTTAAAATCAATATTTGTGTCAAACTCGGCCCTCGTTTGCCATACGTTTGTTCACTGTCTGTTTCATGTCACTGCCTTGTTTCATTCCAGCTGGGAATTGGGGGCAGTGTGTGAGGGCTTGCGTGGAGCTGCTTTGCTGAGAGTTGAGCTGGCCTGTAACTGTGTCCATGCGGGGCCTCCCCATTGTGGGAAGTATGCATGCTTGACCTGAGTACCAGACATGGCTAGATAGTGTAACTGTAGGTTTGCTGGGGGAAGGTTAACGAAGCACAGTAGTTTTGGAGGGCTGGATTGATGGGTGTGACTGACCTGGTCGGGGGCGCCCCCCCCCCCCCCGAATTATATATAATCTGAGAACTGGCGCTAAGGAAGCCAGTTCTGACACAGATCCGTCTATGCTTGAAACCTCTTTATCTCTCAATAAACAAATCACTGCCAAGAGAGTGTTGTCGGGAGCGAGTTTCTCCAGGACTTGACAATTTGGAACGTTTAATATTTTCATTTCTGCCTGTTAATAAAAATTGTTTCACATCTGTCCTATGAAGTCAGTTTGTAGGATTTGCTGCTCCCTGGCAACAAAGAGCGAAGGGACACCATGCGCACCACGGAATGTGCACGCGGCAGCATGCCTTCTTCCACTGGAAAACCACCCCATGTATCACAATCAAGATGCGGGAGGGGAAAAAATACTAAAATGGACACTCTTCTATAGTGCTAACGCACGGAGTGATTCTGAGAGAGATACCTGTGACCCCGGATGTCAGACTGGTCGCACACTCCTCCCAAGGCGATGCGGTGGAACTCTCGACCCAGAGTCTTTGCCACGGATCTCCCCACGCTTGTCTTGCCAACTCCAGGAGGGCCTACGAAGCAAAGGATGGGGCCCTTCAAGTTGTTCTTAAGCTGCCTGACTGCCAAGTACTCCAGCACTCTCTTCTTCAGCTTCTCCATAGCATAGTGGTCGTTGTCCAGGAGAATTCTGGCGGCACGGATATCCAGGCGGTCTGCCAGCCAAGCGTTAAATGTTTGACCGGAAAGAAGGGAAAAAGAAAACTGAGCTAAAACGTTGCCCCGCTCTTCAAGCATACCACAAGAACTGGTAACCCAGATAACACAGCAAATATCTAAGTGCAAAACACATGAAGCTGTCTTATACTAAATTAGATCCATCAGGGTCAGTATTGTTTACTCAGACTGACAACAGCTCTCCAAGGTCTCAGGCTGAGGTCTTTCACATTGCCCACTATCTGGTCCTTTTAACTGGAGATGGCAGGGATTAAATCTAAGACCATCTGCATGCCAAGCAGATGCTCTACCCGAGCCACAGCCCCTCCTCCAACCGCCCATACCTTTTTTGAATGGTACACAATCCCAGCCTGTGAAAAGGCAGCCTTTACCTCTTGTGCTTTTACTCCATGGCAGTTCCACCATCAGCTCCAAATAATTTCGAGTTAAGGCATATTCCGGCATTGACTGAGGCATCTTCTTCAACCTGGAAGAACAGATCCATAGACAGCTGACAGCCCTCTATCAAACTGACAGATACGAAGCAAGGAATGCCAGCAGCGCAATATTCTGTTTGCTGCCATGTTATATTGACACTGTACTAGCTCAATTCCAAGAAGCCAGTCTGATTTCCTTACAATGGCTTATGTTCTTCTTCCGCCTCTGAGATGAAATAAATGAATATCTAGGATGACAATGCTAGCCTCAGCAAAACTCCCCACGTGGAACCCAATTCTTACAGAGAAAGAATCACATACATATAAACTAAAAACAGTTTCAGGCAACCATTTGGAAATAAAGTCCCCTGCTCAGAGACGTAACCTACCTCTTTACCTCTTTGATGCACACCTTGAGAGCCTGCTCAGGCATACTGGAAGCTCGGATTTTCTTCTCCAGCATGATGACGTCATCGTGGTCTTCATCCTCCTCCTCATCTTCCGCAATGTGAGCGATTCTTCGGATGGGACGTATGGCGACGACCTAAAACAGGTGAGGCACAGGGGGTGGGTGGGGGAACCACCAGCTTTCCACGTGCAATCTCATGGTTACAGCCACAAACAACCAGCTATCGAATGAATCCATAATCTATTCATATAAGAAGTTGCAGAATATAAACTGCTGGCAGCCAAGCGACGCGGGACGCTTCGAGAATCCACATCTCACAACGTCGATTGAAACGAAAAGGGATCACGATAATAACAATCCCTTTTCTCAGCTCATTCCCATAAAAGATGAGCTCCCCAAAGCGAAACCAAGCAGAACAGATAATGTACAATTAAGATTCTGCGCTTCACATAACTCTTCTCTTGGCATGCTTGACAGAGATCAATTGCTATGCTGCACGTTAATACAGGCATTCTAACCCCGTCACATAATACAGAACGCATGCTGAAGAGGCTCAAAATATAATTGAAACGTGCGCTTTCCTTTATTCTGGCTGGTTGCACATAAGCAGTAATACTGACAATTTGCGCGCCTATGATGCTTCCTAGCATTCCCCCCCCCTGCAATCCTGCTCAGCCATTCTTCCATCATGGTGCTCAAAAGCGCTTACAGGAAGTATCCCATCCCCACACAGACCTCAGCGGTCTCTCTATTCCGCATCAGCCAGGCCTTTTGCATCGTATGCATTCCAACCACGCCCGTGGTCAAACACTGCAATCCTGACAACAACCTCAAAAGGTGAGCGGCTGTGATTATCCCCATTTGGAAGGAAAGAGGGGGTCGCCCCCAGACATGTTATTAAAAAAAACTATCTCCAAATATTAAACAGCAGCTGCAGCCTCCCCTCCCCAGTTCATACTGGGATCACAGCACGGGGGGCGGAGAAGCCCCCCCAAAAGCCAATAATGGCTCCTGCAGGCTGCATGAAGGTGGGAAAACAGTCTAGGAAGAAGAGTTTGCGCAGGGCTTGCCAACCTTTTTGACCCCCTGGGTGCCTTTTGGAATTCTGACACCATGTGGGGGGTACAGCCACAAAATGGCTGCCACAAAGTAGCTCCTGCAGGAGGCATAAAGGTAAAGGTTTCCCTTGCTTGAAAGCCAGTCAAATCCGACTCTAGGGGGCAGTGCTCATCTCTGTTTCCGAGCCGAAGAGCCAGCGCTGTCTGAAGACGTTTCTGTGGTCATGTGGCTGACATGGCTAGACGCCGAGGCGCACGGAACGCTGTTGCCTTCCCACCGAAGCGGTGCCTATTTATCTACTTGCAATTTTTTGCTTTTGAACTGCCAGGTTGGCAGGAGCTGAGGCCAGAGACGGGTGCTCACTCCGTCACACGGCACTTGGGTCTCGAACTGCCAACCTTCCCGTTTGCAGCTCAGCGTCTTAACCTCTGAGCCACCGTGGCCCCTATGGCTGCTACAGCTTACCTTCAGTCACACAGTGAAGATCCCAGAGTTGTGGGGGCAGCTGCTGCCAAAGCAATGCGGTTTTTTTAAAAAAAAAAATCTACAGCCAACCTACACAGCCTTGCTGGGCAAGAACCCCGCCGGGCCGCGCCCCCTTTCTAAAACCACCTGGCAGCCGCCAAGAAAGGTGTCGGTGGACACCACGGAACCCACAGGAACCGCATTTGGAACCCCTGAATTAAAGTTTCATCGATACCCCGCCTCTCTCCGCAATGGAGACCCAAAGCAGTTCACGTTGCTCTCCTCGCCTCCATTTTCTCCTCATGACAACCCTAAGGTGGAGGTGAGGCTGAGAGTGCGTGAGCGGCCCAAGGCTGCCAGGCAAGCTTCCATGGCGGAGTGGGGGATTCGAACCCGGTGGACACCTCGGAACCGCATTTGGAACCCCTAAATTAAAGGTTTCATCGATACCCCGCCTCTCTCCCCAATGGAGACCCAAAGCAGTTCACGTTGCTCTCCTCGCCTCCATTTTCTCCTCATGACAACCCTAAGGTGGAGGTGAGGCTGAGAGTGCGTGAGCGGCCCAAGGCTGCCAGGCAAGCTTCCATGGCGGAGTGGGGGATTCGAACCTGGGTCTCCCTTGTCTGACACTCGGACCACCATGCCACGCCGGCTCACCTGCCCTCTACCGCAACCCCAGTCTCAATCGGGGACCTCCCCTCTGCAGCTGCCCTTCAGCAAGCAAAACGCACCGGATGCCTTTCCACGGGTTTTCCAGAATCTTCTTGAGCTTAACTCTGAGAGTGGCTCACCTCAGGCCACCACGCGAGTCATGAGACTTCGAAAGAGGGTTTCCCCACTTCGAAGCTCAATCTCTGCTCTGTCATCCCTGCAGCCGGAAAAAAGTACAGAATGCTCCCAAGCCGGTTTTACCTCAAAAAGACCCAGGGTGTGTGCGCTCTTGACAGACGCCTCTAATTTTAACATAAGCCAAGTGAACACTCTGCACTGCTCCCCTCAGAGCTGTTCTGACTAGCGCTTTGCTGAGGGGGGCGGAAATCACAACTGCCTAGCTTCAGTGTGACTATTCAATTATGGAGGCAGTATAATTTAAGTTCTATTTAACTGGCAGCCTTCCATTCCTGCCCAATCATGAACAAGGCATTTAAAAAAAAACAAAAAACCTCTTTTTTGGTCTTGCAACTTCAGATATTCGTCCTGTCATTAGAACCTTTAACATAAAATACTGAACCCACGTACCCGCTTGTCGTCGTCCTGCTTTGGTTTCCGGGTCTTCTGAAGCAACTTCAACCCTTCGATCTGCCGAACGAGCAAGGGGATGGTCATCTTGAATCGCTCCTCCAAGCCAACCGTGTCTAAAATCTAACAAGAACATAGCCATGTAGTTTTCAAGCGGGGGATTGGATAAGCGCATGGAGCAGAGAAACACCATGTCTGGGGCAGTGATGCTCTGTATTTTTGGTGCTCAGGAGGCAATGGTGGACCTCAGGAGGACCACAGTGGGAGGGCTTCTGGAGTTCTGGCCCCACTGGTGGACCTCCTGGTGGCACCTGGGTTTTGGCCACTGTGTGACACACTGTGTTGGACTGGATGGGCCACTGGCCTGATCCAACATGGCTTCTCTTATGTTCTTATGACTGTTGCCCTGTTTCTCAAACATTCTTCCTCTCCCAATGCTACAGACACATTTGCTGCACTGGATATATCAGTGCCTATTTTAAGGGAATGGAAAATTGGAACTTACCTGAAGGTTTCTTCTCTTCAACGGGGCAAAGTCATCCAAACTGGTTAAGTCACATCTCCTCTTGCTTTGGGCAGGGCTATGCAAATTTGTGTAGACTGTATTGGCTGTGGAGTGTGGATGACTTTGCCCCACTGAAGAGAAGAGACTTCCAGGTAAAGTTCCAATGTTTTATCCTCCTTCAGTCAGGTTCGTGAACACGTCGCTAATGAATCTGCTTTTACTGAGTTTGATCATTGGTCCACATAGCCCAGATCGATACTGCCTAGTGTGACTGGCAGTGGCTTTTCAAGGTCTCGGGCTGAGGTCCGTCTGTGCCCCATTACCTGGAACCCTTTAACATGACGTACTGGGGATTGAACCTAGGACCATCTGCATCTGCTTAAATAGGGCACCAGTCCTCACCAAAAAATATCTACTGAAGAGGCAAACAGAACACAAAATTGGAATTAATTATCATATGACAATCTGTGGTACAGCCAGGATTTCCAAGGATTGCCTGGCAGCCGAAGTTCTAACTCTTTAGCGCTATGCACCACTAGGTGGTGAGCTAGACTTGCTGGTGGGCTGAGAGAGCTCTGAGAGCTGTGACTGACCCAAGGTCACCCAGCTGGCTTCATGTGGAGGAGTGGGGAACTGGAATGGGCGACTTCAACGGCTCTTTTCAAGCCAAGGCACCATACTCCCCACAGAATATTATAGGGGTTCCGTTAATGGAAAGGGGGTGCAAAAAAGGGAGCGGTGTCAAAATTATTAGATTGGATCCAATTATTTCTCTTCTGCCAAATCGGATCCAATGGTGGTAGAAAAGTGCCATCAAATCGCAGCTGACTTAAAGGTGACCCCATAGAGCAGGGGTGTCAAACATAAGGCCCGGGGGTCAGATCCGGCCCATCCAGGGCTCTTACGTGGCCCGTGAGCAACTAGTGTAAAGGAGGGAACGTCAGCAAGCTGCCAAATGTCTTTTTTATTTTGGGTTTCATATGGATGCGCTTTATTGCTTAGCTGCTGGAACGTGTATATCTCTCAAGGCCACAGGTGGTTCGCTGCTAGATAGTTGCTCGGGTGATCTCATGGAGAGCCGTGGGAAGGAGATATGTTATGCCAACTAGAAGCGTTTGCTCTCAGGCCCGATGGCGCGCGCGGGAAGTCCTGCAATTGGACCTCAGCTGTTTGAATGTACTATAAACTGCCATGCCCGTTGCTTCCCCCTCATTCCTAACAGTGATCCCGTACATGCACCTATAGCTTCAAATAAAGTAAAACCTTTCTACAAGAGTGTACTTCCTTGATGCTGTGGGGAAGCCTGACAGGGAACAGGAGACTTCTTAGGGGTGGAGCGGGAGAAGCCGCCCCAATTGTGGCTTCAGGATGGCGGAACAACCTTGTCTGCAGCAGTCAAGCAGTGCGGGAACGTTGGCCCAGTGCTTCACCACTGGCTCTCCAGACCACCCGCACGGGTTTTCCTTTGTACTCCCCTCCCAGCACATGAGGCCTTGCAGTGAGGAGACACCAACTCAGAGCTTACGAGTTCCTGTCCTTTATATACAGTTTATCTCTCTGGTACCCGGCATTATGTTTTATGGCACACATGGCCCGGCCCAACCAAGTGACATTTATGTCAGATCCGGCCCTCGTAACAAAGGAGTTTGACACAAGGAGATGGTTTGCCGTTGCCCGCCTCTGCGTAGGTACCCTGGACCTCCTTGATGGGTCTCCCATCCAAAGACTAACCAGGGCCGACCCTGCTTAGCTTCCAAGATCTGATGATATCCGGCTAGCCTGGGCTGTCCAGGTCACAGTATAGTCCAATGACTCCCACTAATTCTTCCTCTTATCAAAAGAAGTTGTTCTGGAAGGGAGTATAATGTTCGAGTAGGGAAGAAGAAGAAGAAGAAGAAGAAGAAGAAGAAGAAGAAGAAGAAGAAGAAGAAGAAGAAGAAGAAGAAGAAGAAGAAGAAGAAGAAGAAGAAAGATTTATACCCCGCCCTTCACTTGGAGTCTCAGAGCGGCTTACAAACACCTTTCCCTTCCCCTCCCCACAACAGACACCCTGTGAGGTGGGTGGGGCTGAGAGAACTCTGACACAAACTGCTCTTTTTCAAGGACAGCTGTGCCAGAGCTTGTGACTGACCCAAGGTCACATCAGCAGGTGCAGGTGGAGGAGTGGGGAATCAAACCCGGTTGTCCCAGATTAGAGTCCGCGCACTTAACCACTACACCAAACTGGCTCTCGAGATAACTTGTAGCTCAATTACCTGAGCTTCATACAACAACTGTTTATTTATTTTTTTTAATTTATGGCAATGGGCTTCAGGCAATTATCACATTTCCAAGTCACTGTTATTAATCATTTTGACAGATGTGGAATTCGAAAACAAGCACAGAGAATGTGGGGGGACGGATGGTGCTCGGCCTGAACAGCAGCAGCACATTGTACCTGCAGCTTCTCTTGGTTACTGGTGCGGATGATGGAAGTTAATATATCCGGCAAAGCTTCCCGGGGCAGATTGTCCAGGAGGCGTCTGAGTTTAGCCACCGCAGGGACCGACATATCCAGCATTTCAACCAGCTTCAAAAGGGAAAGGACCAAAAAAAAAAAAAAGTATTAAATGCTTTTACAGTATCGTTTTGCACCACGGAAACCAAGCCTATCACAAGAATCGTTTCTGAATTTCAGCGGCTGAGACACCATTTGCCTCGAGGCGAAGCTCCTGCAGGATTCTACCTGAACAAGCAAAAGGTAACCGACTCCTTGAGGCCAATTAGTACTGCTGACTACAGAGCTAGAAGGGCTTTATGCCGCGTGATTTGAATGCCTTTCTGATGCAATTATCGTCAGAGTTCCCTGCTCACTTTGAATGGTGCACATGGTCTACAAAACGACAGACCAAAACCTCTTCTGCCTTTTCCTGCCCGGCGGTTGCCTTTTCCGTGCCTAGAAGGGTTCTCAGGCAATCTGACAGCAAGATGTTACGAGACCGGGACGGCAACAGCCTCCAGCACTTGTTCAGACCGGAGGCACTGGGCAGGCCACCATACAACTCGAGGAACGAGTTGTACTAATGCTTCCAGCTGCTTCACGCACTGCCATTTTATCAAGCGGTCTCACGCACTGAGCTTTTCGTGATCCCCCCCCCACCCCGGCAAAGGTACAGACTTTGCGCACCAGATCTCTAGTGCTTGTTCCACCTACCTACCCTACATATTCACTGAAGTGGAATGACTCGTATTTAAGTATATGGGATGCATTCTGCAGCTGGAGGGCTAGAGTGGGGAGGGACACATATGGAACTGCTTTATAGTCCAGCCTTCGCACCGTGGAGCCTTTACAGTAGCCTGACTAAATGTGTTCTGTTCAAAAGAGCTTTCAGGTCAGTTTAAGAAAACTCCCTTTCACAAAAGGTTATGTTCTTGTCCTTTAAAATCCGTGGACTCAATATATCATATTATTTTTGACTGTCAATTTCACTCAGTCTTACGCAAAGAATTGTTGTCATCTTTATTTCCTCCTAATTATAGTTCTAATAGGGAAAAAGTTATTCAAAATCTACTAAAGGATGCTAATCCTAATATTACAGCTATAGCGGCCAAGTTTCTTGCCGAAGTAGTCAAAGATAGATCTATTCTAGTAAAGGATCGATTCATATTGCTTATAATGTATTATATATCCATGCCGTGTTATTGTACATCTATGTATCTTACTGCTATGCCATTAAAGGTCTTTGACTTTGGAACTGCTTTATACTTTTGGCAAATCTTGCTCAGTATTGTCTTAAAGAAGGTAAGGTGTTCTGAAAGGGCCCTTTTGGATGAGACTACTGCTTTATCTGAGGTACTAACACATTTTCTTTGGCTCTAGAAGTCAGCTCAGCAATTTAGGAGCGAGTTTCATATTTCAGCTTTCAAGGCTATGTGTGAACATATTTTCTAATTATTGCCACCACAGAAAAATACTAGAAGAAGAGGAGATTGGATTTATACCCCGCCCTTCACTACCTGGAGGAATTTCAGAGAGGCTTACAATCTCCTTTCCCTTCCCCTCCCCACAACAGACACCCTGTGAGGTAGGTGGGGCTGAGAGAGCTCCCTCGAGAACTGTCCTTGAGACAACAGCTCTGAGAGAACTGTGACTGACCCAAGGTCACATCAGCAGCTGTATATGGAGGAGTGGGGAATCAAACCTGGTTCTCCCAGATTAGAGTCCATGCTCCTGACCACTATACCAAACTGGTTCTAGGCGCCACAACTAAATTTCTAGGTGCTATGGCAACCTGGCACCTGGGATTTGCCAAGTCCTGCTTTATCTAGTCCGGCATCCTTGTTCCAAAAAGCGGCCAACGATAACTGGGGCACGGAGTCTAAAGCACCCCCCCCCTTCTGTTGTTCACCCAACAAACAAAAGTTAGTGGCATCCTGCATCTGAACATGGACTTATTCAGTCATCACAACTAACAGCCACTGACTGATAGATACTCCACGACTTAAAAGTAGCAGCTGCCGTTCCATTTTATGGCAACGCATTCCATAAGCTGATCATGCACCGGTCAAAAAAAGTATCTCTTTTTCACTCTTCTCATAAATTTCACTGGGTGTCCCCACATTCTGTTATTATGGGGAAAGGAGAAAAAGTTATCTGCCTCTTATTTTCTCCATCTTCTTTGTACTTGGACAAGCAGGGTCTCAGGCAGAGAATGGCCCTTCTCAGCACCTATCGCCCGACAACTCTTTAAGTGGAGATGCCAAAAAGTGAACTGAGGGCCATCTGTGTGCAAAATCATGTCCTCTGCCACTGAGCCAGTGATGCCCCCCCATGCAGAGTGGGACGGTGGTGGGCGCTGGAGCTGCAGTGGGCGGGCCAAGGGGGCGAGCTGCAAATGCATGCGGGGGGGGGGATCGCTCGAGCCAGTTTTTTTTGGCCACAAGGCGAGGATACATTCTGCCCCCCCCCATGCGGGGTGGGACGGTGGTGGGCACCGGAGCCGCAGCGGGCGGGCCGAGGGGGCAAGCTGCAAATGCATGCGGGGGGGATCACTCGAGGGGAGGCGGCTTGTGCCAGGCTGCAAAAGGAGTTCCAACAAGACCGCTGGGGCAGCAGAGGGCAAGCGGCACTTTCCCGTAGTCCTGGGTTCTTCCCCGCGCCTGTCCCCCCCGCCTCCTTCTCTTTCTGTCTGAGGGGCTGCAAAGAGGGGAGTCTCTTGCTGGGGACGGAGCAAGAAGCAGGCAAAGGAGGCTTCGTGTGCGGGGTGAGGAGGGGACGAGGCCGGCCAGAATGGTGCCCTCATCGAGCCGTCGCCCTAGGCAATGGTCTAAAATTTAAGAATAACGGGCCGGCCCTGCACTCAGCTACAGACCTTTTCTACCCGCATGTAACAACCTAAAAGTGTTGCTGCTTAAAATCAGCTTCCACAGAACCAAACCAGCGAACCTGCACTGAGTATTTATAAAACTGCTCGGACAGCTCCCCCAGTTCCTCCTCGGTTTTAGACTTGTTGGTGAACTGCTCCAGCCGATCCAACTGCTCGACGTCGGCGACCGGGTAGGGCTTCTCCTTCACCAGTTGCAAAATCTGGAATCTGCAGAGGCCTGTGATCAGCAGCGTGTAATGAGGCTTGGGCCAGTTACTGCCAACCACTTGGACTGCCAGGGCCGCCGTGCCAATCCTGAAAGAGTTAAGATTTCCCTCACTTGCAGTGACACAGCAAGAAATTTAGCAACCAGCATAACAGACCTTCGCTCTCTTTCTCAGAATTTCACTCAAGCCACTGGGGAGAAAGGTCAAATTGATAATGAGGAAGGGGGGGACTGCACACGTGATTTTACACATGACCAGTGTTCCCTCTAAGCTGAGTTAGTGTGAGCTAGCTCACAGTTTCTTAGCTTCCGGCTCATCCATTTTTGTCCTAGCTCAGGAAGGATGGCGCCAGAGCAAACTGATTTATGCAGCGGCTAAATCACTCCCTCACAACTTTAATGCCAGCAGCTCACAAAGTAGAATTTTCGCTCACAAGACTCCAAAGCTTAGAGGAAGCATTGCACATGGCCACCCCCTCGTTTCTAAAGCAGAAGTGGGGAACAATTTTGTACCAAAAACAGAGGAGGTCATGGGGAGCTTACCCCCCCCCCCAAACACACACACACAAACACTTTACTTTGCCACACTCCATTGCTTTTAGCATTTCCAGGCCAGAGCCAGTGGGTCTAAATTTGCCAGTTCTGGATTGGGTAATTCCTGGAGATTTCAGGGGGTGGAGCTTGTGAAAGGAGGGACCTCAGCAGGGTGTGATGCCCTGGAGTTCACCCTCCAAAGCAGCAATATTTTCCCAGGGGAACTGATCCATGTTGAGATCAGCTGTCATCTCAGGAGATCGCCAGACCCCACCTGGAAGGTGGCAAATTTGTGTGGTTCCCCTGCTCCCCCACGCCATGACAGCTGGTTTGGCCGTAACTTTTGTAAACATATGCAAGTCTGGACTACTTGTGAGACGAGGGTCAGTATCCAAAGAAGCGCACATGCAAGGGGAAAAGAACTCCATCCACAGCAGAAACGTCGTGTGTTATTTTCACTACAGCAGTTTCCCCGCTGAGGAGGCAAGCTGTTTTTTTCAACACTGACCAGAGACTTATCTCTTCTGCACAGATGACTGCCGGACAAAAACTGCTCTAGCTATATTTATATGCACGTTTCTCTTTTTGTGTCCATTCTTCAGATATAGGTCTTCACATAAGGCACCCACACAGAAAAAACAATGCAACCTGCTCAAGCATCTCCCACACTTATGAGCTAGAGCCATACAACTAACATGACTGGCCACACGCAAACTTGTTTTCCCATGTTAGTCCATTTCTTTTGTGAAGAGATTTGAAAGCTTTCAAGAAAACACACTACATAATGAATCAGTTCCCACTGAAGTTACACTTAACAAGCTTACATCTTCAAATCACTTCTTATATATACAGAATAATACTCATTACTTTATTATTATTTTTTTTAATGACCCACTAAGCGCATGGAGATCAGTGGATTCCTCTGTTGCATGGCCAAAAACTGATATGCAACCCACAAAAAGGAAACAAATAAAACACATATAGAGTATTATTTATACAGTACTATCAGTGGCACTTAATTTGAGTCCGGCAGCACCCTAAAGACTGGAAAGATTTTTTCAGGGTATAAGGTTTTGAGTCCAGTAGCACCTTAAAAAAAAACCCAAATTTTTCCAAGTTTGTGAGTGAAAGCTTACTTGTCAGATAAAGGTAAAGGTTCCCTTGCTCAAAAGCCAGTCGAGTCTGACTCTAGGGTTGCGGTGCTCATCTCCGTTTCCAAGCCGAAGAGCCAGCGCTGTCCGAAGATGTTTCCGTGGTCATGTGGCCAGCGTGACTAAACACCAAGGCGCACGGAACGCTGTTACCTTCCCATTGAAGTGGCCCCTATTTATCTACTTGCAATTTCTTGCTTTCCAACTGCTAGGTTGGCAGGAGCTGGAACTAGAGACGGGAGCTCACTCCGTCATGCGGCACACTCGGGTCTTGAACTGCTGAACTACCGACCTTCCACAGCCTGCAGTTCAGCGTCTTAACCACTTGAGCCACCGCAGTTCCTTTACTTGTCAGATAAATAACCTCAAAAAGTGAGCTACGACTCACAAAAGCTTACACCCTGGAAAACTTTGTTGGTCTATAAGGTGCTGCTGGACTAGAATTTTGTTCTGCTGCCCCTAACATTGCTACATACCTGAAACTGGTGTATGCTCGGCAGAGTTTCGCAAAATGGTATGTGTAGGAAACACAACAAGGAAACATCCACGAGGACTCCAGAGCTTTGCCCCCAGCATGCCTAGGCAAGAGGAACGCCCTACCCAGACTAATCCCTAAATGAGTTATTTGGCTTTCCCCTTTTGGCAAAGACAGACAGCTGAGCAGCTGAAGCCATAACAAGAGAGCTTATTTTGTTTTGGTTCACCTGTCACAGTGAATCCTTGAACACATCACAACGAATTGCAGACAAGCGATGGCACTGGGGGTTTTTTTGGATCACCCCACACGAAAGGAATTCAAAGAGGTGCTGGTGAACTGGGATGTTAAAATGACTCAAAAGCGAGCCAGGCCGAGCGGTCTCTCCAACACTACACGCCAACACTGTAGGAAACACTCAGCTCAGGCCTGACCAGCAGACACTAATAACAGTGTGTTGGCCCACCCAATTTCTCCTCTTGCACCACCACCAGTTGGTAGCAGTGCAGGAGGAGGCGAAGGGTGCACCATGGACCCCACAACAGTGGCAGAACTGCAAAGCCTTGACTCTACTTGTTCCGTGCTGCCAGTTGCTTTTCAGAAGTTTCACTGTAAATTATATGGTCCCTGTGTGCTGAGTACCAATCTGACCTACAATCTATAATGGCATCTGAGAAACAACTAAAACAGGCATTGCGTCTCTCCAAATCGCCACCTTAGCTGCATGAATTACTCCACCCTTGCAAATTTCACCAGGGAGGCAGGTTGTTGGTTTTCCAATGCATTCCAGTGACAATTTAAGTGGGTGGCCGGCTGTGCAGCCACACATGGGACTCTCTCTGTGCAACCAAGGCAGGTTTTTCACACTGCAATCCTATATCAGGTTATGGATTTCAAAGAGCTTGGACTGGAGTAATTCTCCATAGGAGTGCACTAGGAGTTGAATAGTGCTGAAAGCATGACAAAAAGGAGCATTTATCTTTACCACAGAGTTAGCATTTAAGGGCATCCTGGCAGGAGAAGTTGCTGGTCCAACACCAGGAGTGAAGAGTTCCCAGGGGAGGGAGCTGACAGTTGCCATGACAATCTAAGAGGGGATTAGGCATTGGCTATGGAGACATAGTGGAGCTGTGGTGGCTCAAGTGGTTAAGACGCTGAACTGCAGGCTGTGAAAGGTCAGTAGTTCAGCAGTTCAAGACCCGGGTACCGCATGACGGAGTGAGCGCCCAACTCTCGTTCCAGCTCCTGCCAACCTAGCAGTTCGAAAGCAAGAAATTGCAAGTGGATAAATAGGTACCACTTCGGTGGGAAGGTAACAGCGTTCCGTGCGCCTTGGTGTTTAGTCATGCCGGCCACATGACCACGGAAACGTCTTCGGACAGCGCTGGCTCTTTGGCTTTGAAATGGAGATGAGCACCGCAACCCTAGAGTCGGATTCGACTGGCTTTCGAGCAAGGGAACCTTTACTTTATGGAGACATAGGCAAGAAGAAGAGGCTGTGGCAAGAGAGGCAGGAAGACCAGACAGGGCAGTTACCATGCCCAACAGAGAGGAAGAGCAAAAGGAACAGCTGCCAGGACCAGTGTTCCCTCTAAGCCAAGTTAGTGTGAGCTAGCTCACAGTTTTTTAGCCCCCAGATTTCCATCTCAGCTCAGGAAGGCTGGCCCCAGAGCAAACTAATTTATGCAGTAGCCAAATTGCTTGCTCACAACTTTTAATATGCCAGTAGCTCACAAAGTAGAATGTTTGCTCACAAGACTCCACAGCTTAGAGGGAGCATTGCCCAGGACACAAGTGAGGGAGGAGGAGGAGCAGTTGCCATAGCAACAAAGAGGCAGCGCACCACTGCTGCGGGGCAAGGGCACCATTGCCAGACCCTTGAGATAAGTCCTAGCAGGAGAGGTCAGTGGTCCTGATCCAAGGGAAGAGGTGCCTCAAAGGAAGCCTGACAGTTATGACAACCGAAGGGACACAGCCCCCAACTGAGGAGAAAAGGGGGGGGCATAAATTAAGTGAAATGAATGAATAAATGAATGGATAAAGGTACCAGGATGGAAGCCAGGGCAAAAGGGTCAGGAGGACCAGAAGGGGTAGTTACCACGGCGACAGAGAGAACTGTAGCCATAGCGACAGAAGGGAGGAAGGGGAGGCAATTACCATGACGACAGAGGGGGCGGGTCCCAGCCGCGAAGGGGCGGGGCACGAGCCGCGACCGTTGGCCAAAGGCGAGCTACCAAGAAGCCGGGCGGTTGCCCTGACAACCGAGAGAGAGAGGGTCGCGAGGCGGAGCCGGTCGCCACGGCGACGGGGGTCGGTGGGCGGGGCCTGTACCTGTGGAGCGGGGGCAGCGGGTCTAGGTCGCTGGCCGGGTCGTGGGTGTCGGGGATGACGCCGATGATGGTGCTCTTGAGCGACGTGCCCTTCAGCAGGCGGCTCCGCACCAGCTGCATGTTCCGCGGCGAGTGCACGCTGGCGCGCATGGTGGAGCCCGGCAGCAGCACGGCCTCGGGGGTGAGCAGCAGCAGGAGGCGGCTGGGGATCTGGATGGGGCTGCCGCCCGACGAGGCTCCTTGCGACGCCATGGCCCGGCCAGCGCGAGTCCGTCCAGGCCGCGCTACGGAGGCCGGGAGGGCCAAATCTAACCAGCCGGGACTGCTCGCCGCTGCCACCTGCAGGCCCCGCGAGGCACTGCAGAGCCCCGGGCGCGTTCTCGCCCAGGTTTGTAGAAAGTGGATTGAATTCGTTCAAGGGGATTTTTAAAACAAAAATCAAAGAGCAGCAGATGTTTTCAGATTTACACTTTCCTCATCTCCGCACGTCTGGAATTCTATTTCATGCAGTGGTGGCCGTAGTGTAGTCATGAGCCTGTGTCCTTTAGGGTTGTCAACCTCCAGGTGGCGCCTGGAGACCACCAGCTGTTACACCTGATCCCCAGAGTAACAGAGATCAGTTCCCCCTTGTCGTACGCACAGTTTATGAAACACTTTTGTACTCTGCCACTGACTAACAGGTTAACTTAGTAGGTACACCTAGCATTTCCATGGTATGCTGAGTGCCATTTATGATTCCAGTCATACAGACAGAAATCAACCATGAACATATATTCAGATATTAACTGTGGTTCATTAACGGCCACTGCTTAAAAATGCATGCTGGGAGAATAAAAACATGGCGACGGCGGAGAACATGGCGGCAGTTGGCGAGTCGAGCGAGAGAGCGGAGGCGGGGCCGGCGGAGCGTAGAGGCGGGGCGACGCGGCAGGCCGGAGCCGATTGGACAGAGGCTGGCTGCAGGAGCACGCACTGACATGTGCTTGGCCCAAGCCTGGGAGGAGTCGCAATGACGGAAGGAAGACCTGCACCAGGGAGACGTTGTTGCCGGACTGGAAAAGACCACCTGCAGAAAGACCACAATAACGAAGTCTCCGCTTCAGAGTGCCTGTTAGGTTAGTCACTTCCCCCATTGTATGTGTGTGTGGCCTTAGGTAGGAATTGTATCAAATGTATAATGTAAACAGCTCAGAGCCCTTAGGGGGTGAGCGGTATATAAATCGAAGGAAATAAATAAATAAATAAGCGTCATTTGGTAAGTAAAAGAAGCCCGGGGATACAGTTTCAGCACCGTGGACAGCGCACAGTTGGTTTTTCTCTGGCACTTCCTTATAGATAGGAAGAAACGCAAACAATAAACATCATCAGCTCCCGCTGGTGCATGGCAAAAAAGAGATCTCTCACCATGACAAGAATACTGACAGGTGATTGGCAGCTTCATGGTCATTTAAAAAGATTTACTTTTCTGCTGCTGGTTACATTCTAGCTCCAAACTGGCTTGCTCTCTCTCTCTATCCATCTCCTCTCAACAGTATTTGATCTGTTTCCCATTCTCTCTTCTTTTTTTAGATGGCGGTCTTATACACATTTTCATTTATCTTTCAAATTCATTCGTTCTGTTCTCAAAACAAAAAAGTATAGATTTTGAAAAATCTTTCTTAGAATTACAAGACT